TTGTCTTTAGGTTTAGATTTCGATAATTCGTCGAATGTTTTAAATATTTTTTTAATTAAATCTATCAGCCTGTCATCTTATTAGTTGTTTTTTTTTATTGCCTAGATGTGTGGACGAGCTCACAGCTGGTGTTAAGTGGTTACCGGAGCCTATAGACATCTACAACGTAAATGCCGCCACCCACCTTGAGATATGAGTTCTAAGGTCTCAGTATAGTTACAACGGTTGCCCCACCCTTCAAACCGAAACGCATTACTGCTTCACGGCAAAAATAGGTACGCTAGTGGTAACTACCCGCGCGGACTCACAAGAGGTCCTACCAACAGTAAAAATGGTTATCAATTTGTCAACCAGACTTACGTAGGCGGCTTCACATGCGTTACATTTATATTTAGAAAGAATCAGACGCGTTCCATTTTTGCAGGATAAAGATTTTCCTTTATCACTCTTTGGTCCATAATAGTTTATTTTTAGATCTGTTTTTCGTAAAATTATGAACTAGTAATATAGTTTTTACTGTAGCATAAATAACCGACTTTAACGGGGTTACTACGGTAATTCATTTTCAGATCACACATCCTTCACCTGTTTTTGTGTGATGAGTTAAAAAATGATTTTTCAACATACAAACTTTTACAATCATAATGTTAATATAGAACTATAGTTATACAAGTTCTGATGGGAATTCAATTCGTTCTCACTAATTAAAATTTTAGTCAAAGAACCCGGCACGACAGTTTGTTTGGAATTAAACTGGATCGGTCCTAAAATTAATCAAGTTTGTCATTAGAATCCGAGACTTATAACATAACACTTAAAAATAATTTTTATTTGCATTCATAGTCGCATCAGTGTCAAGCTTAGTAAAATCTCTGAGCTACTAATTAAATTTGGCACAGATATAATAGAGTTAATTAACTGAATAACTAAGTTGAATTTGAATTTGAATGTAAAAATAATAGGTTACAAATATTATAACCGAAAACTATAAAAATAAATAAATTAATAGCTTTTCGTAATACTAGTATTCGACGATAGATGGCGGCAGCTTATGTATTTTTCCTATCCCTAAAATAATCGAATAAATGCAAATAATAGAGTACATAAATACTTTGTGTATTTTTAGTTTTTTTTTTATTGCTTAGATGGGTGGACGAGCTCACAGCCCACCTGGTGTTAAGTACTGGAGCCCATAGACATCTACAACGTAAATGCGCCCCCCACCTCGAGATATAAGTTTAAGGGTCTCAGTATAGTTACGACGGCTGCCCCACCCTTCAAACCGAAACGCATTACTGCTTCACGGCAGAAATAGGCAGGTTGGTGGTACCTACCCGCGCGGACTCACAAGAGGTCACCAGTAATGAAAAATGCCTTTACAGTGTAAAATAGAGTCGTATCTCGGTGTTCAAACATATATATCATTTTTGTAAGCACTATTTCATATTTTGACTTAATTGCGAATAATAAATATAAAAAATATTGTTATATCTTTGCGAGTAACGCCATCTGTTGACAAATAGTTAATACGAATACCGGAACAATTGGAAATATAACACTTGAATGTTCTGGAAGCATTTCTTGAATGTTCTAGAAGATTTCCTCAGTGTTTCAATTGGTTTGAGAAAGTTCTAATGGCCCGGAGTATGTTCTAAACATAAGTGAGTCGGTCTATCGGGAAAATAGATCTAGCGGATAATATTATTATTAATAATAGTTTATATTATACGATTTATATGAAGTGTGATGTCGAGTTCCCATTATCGCTTGGAGCATTGTCATTAATAACACGGAATAATACAATAAACAAAATTTTTATATCCGAATGCGTCAGAAACTATTGCCCAAGCCAATCGGCGTGCCTACGGGTCAGATACACGCGAGTGTCCAACAAAAATGGACGTTGACTGAAAGACTAATGCATTTTGTATCATTTTATTTTTCCAGCCAACGTACATGGAGACGTAGTGGGCCGAATTTTGTGAATTAATTCTTATTTCGTTTGTTTTACGAGCGTTTTATTTTGGGAGAGTTGTTTATTTTCAAGTCGACGGGTGTGAATCGGGGCAACTTAAGTTCGAAGTGGGAGGAAACGTGGTTAGGAGTGATCATGATTTGGTATCTTTCGTGGAATCCGAAAATGTTAAAAGCTATTTTGCAATAGACAAGTTTTAGTACCATTACCATTTTACGACGCCGTGCGTGGTATTAAACTATTAAGTGGTTAGCACATGTATGATGTACGATGATTGAGACATGGGCTGTGGTGGTAGGATTTCTTGTGAGTCCGCACGGGTAGGTACCACCACCCCGGCCATATCTACCGTGAAGCAGTAATGCGTTTCGGTTTGAAGGGCGGGGCAGCCGTTGTAACTATACTTAAGACCTTAAAATCTCAAGGTGGGTGGCGCATTTACGCTGTAGATATCTATGGGTTAAAGTAACCACTTTACACCAGGTGGGCTGTGAGCGCGTCCACCCATCTAAGCAATAAAAAAAAAATTGGCTGATACTTGTGTGTTTTAAATTTACATTCACGGTAGTAAATAAAGCCCACCATTTGATATACTGATAATAATTTAAAGGTCAAGATATTCTGGTAACCGGATATTGAGCAATATTAGCTGTGATAATTCATCATTGATCATTCGTAGCGTTATCCTCACCTTAATTACTTTTTCCATAGACAATACTGAGTTTCTCGCCGGATCTTCTCAGTGGGTCGCGATTCCGATTCGGTAGTAGATTCTGTAAGGCACTGCTCTTATTGGGGCTGGTGTCAGCAAATCCGCGCAGGTTGAGCCTATGAGCTCATCTACACGTTCGCGCGAAACTGGAATAGACCCTTACGCTATCAGCAAAAATGTAGAGGACAAAAAAATATTTTCCCAAATTCTTCCGAACCCAGTGGCGTAAGGCTAACCCTTCTATTTCTTCAAGAAGAATTCGCCTTTCTCAGTCTTAAAGGTGGGTTAATTTCAATAAAATTAAGACTTTCCACTTCATGTTTCTGGACGAACTATGGAGATTCAGAAGATATCGTGGCCTAAAGGATAAGACGTCCGGTGCATTCGTATGTAGCGATGCAACGGTGTTCGAATCCCGCAGGCGGGTACCAATTTTTTTAATGAAATACGTACTCAACAAATGTTCACAATTGACTTCCACGGTGAAGGAATAACATCATGTAATAAAAATCAAACCCGCAAAATTATAATTTGCGTAATCACTGGTGGCAGGACTCTTGGGAGTCCGCACGGGTAGGTACCACCACCCCGCCTATTTCTGCCGTGAAGCAGTAATGCGTTTCGGTTTGAAGGGTGGGGCAGCCGTTGTAACTATACTGAGATTTTAGAACTTATATCTCAAGGTGGGTGACGCATTTACGTTGTAGATATCCATGAGCTCCAGTAACCACTTAACACCAGGTGGGCTGTGAGCTCGTCCACCCATCTAAGCAATAAAAAAAAATTGTCGGCATAATGCGTAAAGCGGCTTAAACACATTACGAAAATCATCAATTTATATGAGCACATATCCATGTTAACTCGTTTTAAAACATGGATTAAAGGTTTGAAAAAAAAAAAAACTCGCTATCTAGTAATATCCGGGTCTTTGCAAATCTCCTGGCAGAGTTCTAAACTGAAAACGCAGTCGCTATTAGGGTTGGCCGTCCTAAATATTTATTAATTAAAATTAAATATGTCAATAGCTTCTACGCCAATTTCTTATCGTCTATAGTTCGGAATTATTAAGATTTCTTTACCTAATAACTAAAATAGTTTAATAATCTTTGTTAACCTTGATATTTAGCCATTTATCACCAGACGGGTGTTGATTTCGTTAGCACTTGAGGAGATAAAGTACACACAAGTTTTTTTCACCTACAATATACTTTTAGAAGTCAACCCTACACGATATCGCATAGGGGTATTACAAGGCTTAGCCAGATTGAAAATATGACCACAGATTTCGGTGTGGTGGTTCCGTGGAATTATGGATAGCGAACCAAATACGGGGTGTATAGAGGCAGTTAAGGGTTGAAATTAGAATGTACTACTGGAACTAAACATAGCTGATACTTACGTCATTCAGCTAACACAACACGGCCCTATTCAAATTTGGTTAGAATTTAGCTGAGACAAAAAAAACTCAATTCTTCTGAGGTTTTCGACATATTTTTTTTATTGCCTAGATGGGTGGACGAGCTCACGGCCCACCTGGTGTTAAGTGGTTACTGGACCCCATAGACATCTACAACGTAAATGCGCCACCCACTTTGAGATATAAGTTGTAAAATCTCAGTATAGTTACAACGGCTGCCCAGCCCTTTAAACCGAAACGCATTACTGCTTCACGGCAGAAATAGGCAGGGTGGTGGTACCTACCCGCGCGGACTCACAAGAGGTCCTACCACCAGTGGACCTACCATATTTATGTAATACTTCCGGTAGGTAAATGAAACTTTAGTTTTACTACTTATGGATGCATCGCTTATATCTGACACAGTTCTTAGACAATTTTCAGTATTTTGTCTTTGCTGTTCAAAAAAAGGCCATTTAATTCGAGCACTTTTGTTAGCTTACATTAATTTTAAGTATTTAGTTATATTTTGTATGTTCCCTTATTTAGGAGCATTAGCGCGCCAATGGACCTTGGAGAAAATTCTGTTACTATACTATGTTTGGAGGTTATCTGTAGGATTGAATCCGGAACGAGGTGATCCGACAGAAAACCAAAGTTATCGACATAGCAAAATGGATACCCTGAAGTGGCAATGGGCTAGCCATATTAGTTGGACAGCCGATAACTGTGGGGGTAAACGTGTTCTTGCGACTGCTTAGTGCGAGTTTTTTAACGTTCTCGATAACGTCAAAGTTAACTCAAATATGTATGGAGTTCGAACGTATGCATATGCCGCTAGAAACACATTACAGGCACATTACACATTGCTATGTCTGAAAAGCCTTAATATTGAGAAAAAACATTTATTACCGAACAACTACAGTGTGCGACGTATATATAAAAAAAGAGAACACAATTAATTGGATGGTGGTATCTTTGGTAGAGGCGTTCAGCATCTGGAGATGTCTGGTAGGTTCTTCTGCTTGCAGTAGGAGTAAGAAGACGGCCAGGCCTTGAATCCGATTCTATCGTATACTCGCTTGGCGCATCTAACGTCATCGGCCAGGTCTTCGTTCAGGAGATCTGAAGAAAAGCATTCAGTTATCAGTGAAGTGAATTAACAGGACTGTACTTTAATTGTTTATTTATTTTCTTCTTTCTTATGGCTGGACGATCTGATTGCCCATTTGGAACCCATAGACATTGGCAACGTAAATGCGCCACCCACCTTGAGATATAAGATCTAAGGTATCACTATAGTTACAACGGCTACCCCACCCTTAAAACCGAAACGCATTACTGCTTCACGCCAGAAATAGGCAGGGTGGTGGTACCTATCCGTGCGGACTCACAAGAGGTCCTGCTACCAGTAAGAATACTAAATATAATAATAAAATAAATATTATAATACCTTCACATTTCATGTTGCAATTTCCGCCCTTCCTGCCTTTCTTGCACCAGTCTTTGTTGTTAATCTGTTTAAAAAACAATAACTCAGCATCGAAATCTTTTGATAGCTATTCATTAGCTTAGTAACGAGACTGGGTCATTCTATATGTTCCAAATTCCAAACAGGCATTAGCTGGCCCGCGTATATGAGTCTTAGCACTATTGCTAAGAAATATCGGATTGCTGTTGCTGGAATTTGCCTTCGGAACTCTAGACAAATCTTAGAGGACCTTAAAAGGTCCAAATACCTTGCTTTATCGTGTTTAATTATTAATTTAGTTTGAAATCAAGGTATATGTCACTAGTAATGTTCTGTGCTGAAGTGTAACATATTGGGACCCAATAAATAAAATAGCAATAAATAAAAATAATCAATTTGTTAATTCAGAAATTTAATCTATTTATAAATAACGGCAGGTCTTAACGCAAACATATTATACAGACGAGTAAAAGAAGGGTCAAGGAGGAGTCTCAAGGAGGAGAGTGTCAAGGGTCAAAGAAGATTTTATTGAGGGTAGGACGTATTGTGAGTCCACATGAGTAAGCATCACCACCCTGCCTATTTCTGCCGTGAAGCAGTAATGCGTTTTGAATTGAAGGAAAGGGCAGCCGTTGTATTGTAAAAATTGAGACCTTAGAATTCATATCTCAAGGTAGGTGGCGGCATTTACTTTACAGATGCCTATGGGCTCCAATAACCATTAAACTCCACCTCTCCACCCATCTAAGCAATAAATAAATAATAGAGTACAAAGTTAAGGTTCTCACTGTTGATCACCCACAAGATGGATTAAATCATCTAACGAAGTGTTCCCATATTTAATGTAGTTATATGGGCACCGCTACAAACAGAGAGAATTGGAGAAATCTCCCAAAAGCCCCAACAAACCAAAACCCACAACCACCCCTCCAGTAGTGTATGATTAAGAAGAAAAAGAAAACAGAATTACATATTCTTTTCCAAGATTTTCCACCTAGAAGAGATCGCTCTTAGCGATAAGACCGCAATTGTACTTTTCTTGTATTTAATGTATGTATCGCATTGCTTATTTATTTTTTTGGTGTTTAATAAAGAATACTCTCTCTCTTTTTTTTTTCTCTCTCTCTCTTTCTCTCTCTTATCGTCTTACGTACGATCTTATGAAAGTTTTGTTTACACCCTAAGAACTGTACCGAGGACTTCAAACTCAATACCGATTCAGCTGATATTTTTCTTTTAGTCAGCGTGTACACAAACAGTGATGAGACGCTCCGCAAGATTAGCAATACGAATGAGAGTATTAGCTCAAGACACGTTATTTACACACCGGCTGATTCCAATCCGGCGTTTCGATTTGGAAAACGTTTTGAATAGTGTTGTTTCAGTTCTATGTCGATCTTTGATAGGCTTTAGGTATTAATGAAGTACTGAAGTTTGGTAAATTGAAAAAAAGGGTGCTGTACTTATGTACGCGCGTAAGAAGTTATACTTTATTTTTATTCAATTTATTTTTTTTCTAATTAAATTTTACACAAATTTGAAAAAAAATCGATTAAACAACATCCTCAAACACGCATATTGGACATCCCTTTTCTTGACGGATTCGGTAATTCTCGGTACGGTTCGGAAAGTTCACCTGCGGCTATATTCAGACTCGCCAAGTTACGTCGGTCGTATTGTAATGAGCGATTTAGTGGGCAACTTCATTCTGTTAATTTTGTGTCACGGAGCGCGCGCATCGTAAAATTTCACTCTCATCAATTTTTCATAACGCGCCTAAAGAAGTATAGCTTAAAAAAAATTTAATTCCTAAACTGAGAGGCTATTTGGTTTAAGTGACATATCGCTTAATACGCGACATATATTTTTGTATTTAGAGGTCCGTTTTATTTGGAATTAGCATCAATAATTCGATGTTTTTATTGGAACTTCAATTAAGCTTACTCCATACTAATAGCTGAAGAAGTTTTTTTGTTACCATATTTTTTCCAAACTAGTTATCTATAAATTAATACGTGAAGCAAAAACTTTGTACCTCTTTTTACGAAAATTGCGCGGACGGAGAAATATGAAATTTCCCACACTTATCAAGAATATAGGGAAGGCGTGCAGAATGCTAATATATTTTTAAATTTATGCATTAATAATACAATAAATCAATAAAAAAACACTACACACACTACAATATATTTGACACAAACACGCATGCATACTATTTGTTTATTATCAAACTTTTGTTATTGCGTAAAATCTGTGGTCAAATTGAGAATAGGTTAATATTATTAATCTTAAATATTATTTGTCTATAGTGTGGTCTTGGTGAAATCTATGAGTGAAGGAGTCTTTGACAATAGAACCTTAATAATGTACAAACTTATAATTTCCATTAATTATAGTCGAATTTCGACTACTGCGGGACCACTAGTAAACTTTAAATGGCTCTCCTATAATGTTGCAAAAATGTCGCCTAAACTAAGTAGGCTTTCACCCATTGTTATATTTATATTAGATTTAATAAAGATTCGGGCACTGATTGAATCGGGGTCGATCAATGTGTAATCATCAACATTTTTTTTTTAATTTCATTTACATCAGATTTTGCATCCATATTACACTCATTAACATTTCATTTATACTAGAATTAAATAAAAACAATAACTACAATCTCGGCCTAAAACAAAATCAACAATAATAATAATTAAAACAAAAAATCAAATAATAATAATAATAATAAAACACAAACTCAAAATTTACATCAAAACTACCTTAACCTAAAGGCTGGTTTGGATCCAGAGTGCTCAGCATGCACACGTGTCCAGTGTTGCATTATTGGGCAGTCCAGATCCATTCGTGAGGCGAACAGCTGTAGGTAGCTGTTGCAACTGACCCGCACGCGGCGAATCAGGGAAGCAATTCGTTTGCGAATGATTGCTGCGAAGCTATCTACTCGCGCATCCGCAAAATTTTGCGGAACAAAATTTGCTTCTTATTTCTAAATTATTAAGTTTTTTCCAATTACATATAATAATCCAGCTAATTCAGTGTAAAACGATTTCTCGATATTTACAAATTTATTTTTACTTATCAGTTAACCCAGTTTAAAAGTTTGTTTATACGATTTTGGAACTGTTTAATACTATTTTCCTGTTTTTAAAAAATCATCTCAAATCCAGCCCGATACAAATAGTAAAATTACAGAGAATTTACCGCAACTGTTTACTTAATCTACTTAGGTACTTCCTAAATTTATAACCTATGCTGATAGCTTTGAGGTGTAGGTGAGCTCACGGGGCTCAAACCGGAGTGACGCTAAACTGGCCTTAGCAAGGGCAGTGCTTCGCAGAATCTACCATCGGATCGGAAACGCGACCCATTGAGAAGATCCGGCGAGAAACTCAGTGGGCTGCGTCTATGGGTTAATTTACTCGTCGAGCCCTTCGTCGCAAGCGACGGGTTCGGCGAGGACGGTGACCGAAAAACTATTAACGACTAGCTCGCGCTTCGCAGTGGTTTTTGTGTGAAACAGTAACAAACATACATCCATACATGCTTACAAACTTTCACATTTATATAGGTATAGTTAATATTAGTATGATTAATATCTATATAGTAATTTAAACGGTAGCATAGGTTTTTCGTATTTAGGAAGTAAGTATATTATAATAACTAACCAGCAATAAACTATCTTTAAATATATCTTTATGCTGTCTTCTTCTTCTTTACAATATTAGTAGGACATCCTACTAATATTGCGGGTCTGCGGAGGGACTTCGGTTCCCTCTGTATTCTGTACCGTATGTTCCATGGGGAGTGCTTTGAGGAATTGTTTGAGATGATAGATGATAGTAGAGTTTTTTTTTTTTTTTTTTTTATGATTGAAAGATTACTGGTGGCCCTGAGGCCTTTCCAGCTTCACCAAGACAGGTGGGCGAGCAAAGGCTCAGCCAGGAGGGGTGGGATTTGCTAACAACTGCCTGAGCGCCTCCGAAGGAGACATAATACTACCTGGAGCCACTACGTTCACGCACAGTGCGTTTCCAGAGATCTTTTTTGCCACGTACCATCCGGCTATGGAATGAGCTCCCCTCCACGGTGTTTCCCGAGCGCTATGACATGTCCTTCTTCAAACGAGGCTTGTGGGGAGTATTAAGTAAACGGTACGCAGCGGCTTGGCTCTGCCCCTGGCATTGCTGACGTCCATGAGCGACGATAACCACTCACCGTCAGGTGGGCCGTATGATCGTCTGCGAATATGGCAATAAAAAAAAAATTTTTTTTTATCGATACTGAGATTCTTATCTCTAAACTCTTGCGGACGAAGCGAATTGATCTGTTCCCGGTCCCGCATCGCTTCTGTAACGAGAACTCATTGCGACAATGCAAATTCCACTTCGCGAATCACCCATTTACTATTGGATACTATGCCGGATTCCTTTCTGCTGCACACTTTCTCTGCAATCGTGCATTCTATTTCAAACGACAGTATCACCTTTAGCGCAATGCAATTAATACTCAAACTTCCCATCGTCAGATTAAAGACGGTCCACACACAAAAAAAAAGTATGGGCATTTATCAATATCGAAGGTGTTGCTATACTGTATTTAATTAACTATAGAGAACAATACTAGTGTATCTATTATGTTATTGCATGTTAATCCTATAAGAATCCTATTTAATTATCAATATCTATATATATAAAAATGAATTGCTGTTCGTTAGTCTCGCTAAAACTCGAGAACGGCTTGACCGATTTGGCTAATTTTGGTTTTGAATTATTTGTGGAAGTCCAGAGAAGGTTTAAAAGGTAGAATTAAATAAAAATAACAATTCTGTTATTTCCTTTGATGTGTCCCCCGTCGGACGGATTCTTTTTGTTTGTTTTAAGTTTATTTTATGTAAAAATTTAGGTCTTTTATTTATCGATTGAGGCACTACGAAGACTGCCAGGTTAGCAAGTATACAATAATATTATAGATATGAAAGTTTCCAACGATGGATGGGTGTTTGTTACTTTTTTGCGAAAGCTACTAGTGCTATTTCCCTTG